CTCATAGAAGTGTTATCCAGCTTCCTATAAAAGTTATCACTTTCTCACGATTCTCTAATATCTCAAGAACTTCTAGTTTTACGAACTTATATTTGCTTTTCAGTGAGTTACTGTACTCTCACCGTAAGACGTGGACTAAATGACAGCGGCGACACCAAATCAAAGCGTAACAGCTGACGGAAGCGACGGAAATAGTCGAGAGGATCAAGGGGTTATAATCGGGGGTAACCGCTCCATTAAGTGGATGGGCTAGCTCATACGTATCCATAAGAGAATAGGCTTATGGTTCGGGTATATCTCGAACTAGAATTTTTGACTTCAATACTATTATGTAAGATTGACAAAGTTTAGCACTATTTGTTACGACTTTGCTTGTTCAAGATTCTGACTTTATGAGAACAAATAGACTAATTGCCAATAACAAAATTACTAGAAAATTAGAACGACAAATCATTCGTCATTTCTGTAGGACGATTAATTTGGAGCCTCATAGGACATTTTCGATTCACAAAAATTAAATTTTCAGTTGATATAATCTTTTTTTCGATTATGCCTCCAATCTTTATAGAGACTACGAAACTGAGTGAATTTTCGGTGGTTATTTTTTAGAGCTTGCTTTGCCTCAGAACAGTGCCCTAAATCTGCTTCAAAACAAAAATGTTTTGATTTTGAAAAGGATTTTAGGACAGCCCAAGACTTTTTTATCTAGTGCATCTCTCAGAATCTCAAACACGTCAAAAGAAAAACTGTTTTTCAAATGTTACTTTGTCTGAGCAAACAGCAACACATCAAAGAACTTTTTATTGCACATCATAAGTGACATTCAAACGTCGATGCTTCACACAGCAAAAGAGGCATAGTCACGTTTGAGTAAGGCTGTAGTTTCGGTGTCTTCAGCTCGATCACATATCGAATCCATAACTTCAATCGTTCGCGACTGGCCCACACCTAGGGATGAAAGGTTATGGAAAGTACTTGGAAAACTTAACGCTTTGGACAGCTTGAACCCACCAATGAGGATAACTTGGGCATGAAAGAAGCCAAAAATTCTCAGTTTCTCTCACCTTAATCTGATTGCACGAAATCATGCACCATAAATCCACAAAAATTCATAATCTTTCTCAACTTGAATGAAATCTTTTACTTTGATACATTCTAAATAAAGAGGCTCGTGCATTTTTCAAGAGTATCTGAGTAAAGTTTACCATTGCCACGAGACAAAGATACAAGCCCTTGAATGGAGATAATTAGAAAGTGGTTTTTTATGCTAAAATTAGTAAATGCTCACGTAAATTTTCATTCTAGTTTTCTTTTTGGTTTTATGATATGCTTCTTCTATATGGGGGTAACTCATGTTTATCTGACTTTTTTATGATTGTTATGATTTTCTTGTTTTTTGCTCTCAAGTCGATAATATCCCTAGTATTTATGATAAGGTACGTCTTCCAATATGTAACAAAAAGTAAGCGAAGTATTTGAAAAAATGACTTGAACATTTATAAAACAATTTAACTTTGTTTTTGGTGCAAGACATGTATTCTAACATTTGAGATGAAGGACTTGGCACTCCTTCTTTTCGTTTGAGGACCACTGCCTTTCTTAGAGAAGTAAAACCGTTCCCATTTTTTTGAATACCTTCGAACTATCCAATGTCGAAATAATTTTTTGTAAGTGCAAAATGAGTGCAAAGGCTCCTAAGCCTTCCGCCCCTGTATAAATATTATACTATGGTTCTAGGGCAAGTGTAAACTAACATTGCTTATGGAACTCCAATTTATCCGTTTTGATGAACAGAGCACGAGATAAAGGCGAACGTTGACCGTCTTTGAATACAGCCGTAGCACTGAACATATAAAACCAGTCGTAGCGAAGATCGGGGAAAACTACCTAAAAACGGTTAATCGCAGTTTGAAAGCAGTTTTCCAATTATAGCGCAACAGAAAGACTTCCTGAGGTTCAAATATTGCAACTTAAGATTTGAGGAGTTGCTTACCCGTCGACCGTTGACAGGGATTTTTTCCCATTCCGAGAGCGAAGCATTCGGATTTTCGGTAAAGTAGACTATATAATTCTGGAATACTTCGAATCAAGAAATGAGGCAAATACTAGTGATTTTTGCAATTTCTGTGGAAACATCCCATAAATGACTACATCTATACTTAAAGATCCTGATACAAGCCAAAGTTCCGCAATTCACTTAAGTAAGCTTATCCCTTGTGGTAGAAGAAAAATCTCAGTGAAGTGTCAGTCTGAAAACTGCAAAGGCATTTTTTCCTGTCAGTCTGAAACCTGCAAAAGCATTTTCACCATGAGAATTTTTGGCATTTTGTCAAGAAAGCTTTTTTTCATCAGATGTATTACTCAATGAACTCTACAAATGGAACTTTCCTTTTTTAAGCTAAACATACCTTCAGATAATGATAAAGATAAACATACCTTCACATCATTCGTCCTCTTGTAAGGAGGTTCCCAAGTCAGCTCTATGGTGTTTGCATGCAGCTTTGTAGCCAATATGTGCTGAGGGCTCAGCTGAGGTTCTAAAGAGAATAGGCTTTCGAAGGGCTCAGTTTTCAACATAGCTAACCTCACCTGTATACTGTACAAGATAGATCGGTTTACTTTCGCCATATTTGCTGACAGCTGTAATACGGAACTCGTAGAGCGAGCACGAGTCTACGCTCATGATTTCGACGGTATTTCCCTTGATTCCGCGGAGTTCGCGGATCTTACCATCTTCGGTGTGTCTATAAATTTACTTTCTTTTTCAACAAAATTATCGAAAGAATCCTCTAGAAAACTCGAAAAGAAGCAACTAACTTGAGACGATAGCGAATGTTGTAGGTGAGATCGGAGTCGGTCGAGAAAGCTGGGGCCCAAGCTATTCGAACAGAGTAGGCTGAAGTGCTGATCACCTAAAAGTTCACTTGAATTGAGTTAAACAAGAAATAAAACGGTTATAACATTTTCTTACCCACATATGATAGTGAGTACTTCAGATTAGTGCAGATTTACAAAGAGTTTTTCACTTTGCAAACAATTTGAAAATGTTGAAATTGTATTCACCTGACAGTCAGAAGGTGGATCTGGAGGAAGACGAGCAAACATGAACTGTTCGTTCGGCACTAAAATGCGCTTGAAAAATGAATAAAATCAT